CAGTCACAGTCCAGCTGGCTTTGGTGAGCTCCCAATAGATCAGCCCCACTGTCTCAGTGGGTGGGTGCACCCCCCGTGGTCCTGACATCCTTGCTCGTGTTCTCCCTCCATCTGCTTCTCATTGGGACCTTGGGAGCTCAGTCCAGTGCTCCAGTGTGGGTCTCTGTCTCTATCTCCATCCATCACCAGATGAAGGTTCCCAGTGATGTCTCTCCTGGTGCCTGGCCTACCTCTACTTTCTAAATGCTGGGATTACAGGCATGTGTCACCATGCAATTGTGGTGATGGTGAGCTATTGATTTCTTTGAAAGATGTTCTATCTAGGCAGAATAAGAAAGATGGTGACCTTCATACCTCTAAAAATTTTATATTTTAAAATTTCTTGCTCACTAAAATGTCAAACGTTTTGAACTTGCTGCTTAATATTAAATAGATTATTTCCTTAATATTATAGTTAGATTTTCTTGAGGAGTTGACATTCTACAACTTAAAATTAACTTATCACATGAGAGACCTTGGTATACTCAGCCTGAAATGAGATCTCTTTATCAAATCCTTCCTCTCAGGGTCTCTGTTTCTTGTGCCTTCTCTTGGGTTCTTTTCCTTCTGTTTATTTTGTCCAATTCTGCTGTTAGTTTTTTGTATTATTATATTTTATTTTATTGTTATCCCTTTACTAATGACAGATAAAATGGGAGGGGATCCAGATGGGAGAGGAGATTGGGAGGAACTGCAAGAAGTGGAGGGAAGGGGAAATTGAAATCAGGTTATATTATGTGAGAAAAAAAATCTTTTCAATAAAAGGAAATAATTACCTTATCTCATGGAGAACACTGCATCCACATATATTTATTAGCTCACTCTGTTTCTTCAGACTGTATCAGAGGGAAGAATTAAGTTCATTACCACAATTTAAAGATAAGCACATTGAGACATAGAGGGGAAAGGTAGCTTATTTTCAGGTACCCAGCAAGTCAAAAGAATATGAATCACCAGAGCACAGTCTCCTAGTGCTTCAGGACAGTGCTGGTTCACAAGGACAGCAAAGGGGCTTCCCTGCTCAGAGCAGGTTTGTGGGTAGGAGCACTAAGAGTTGGAATTCAATGCTGGTTTCTGAAGAAAGAGCCTTAAGGAGCATCTAGCATCTGCCAAGTGAGTGGGCACGGTGGCAGGAACCCTGCCAGGGCTCGGTTCCTCTAGTACGTTCCTAGGCTGTTCCACTGAACTTCATTAAGTGGGGAAAATGAAATAGGACAAAGCAGAATAGATCATCAGGACTTCCCCTTTCCTTCCTTTTCTTACAGTTGTCCAGTCTTTTCAACAAGACAGAAGAGCCCAAAGACGAATCTCCTTCTTCATGGAGACTGGGACTCAGAAAAACTGGCAGTCACAATATGCTGAGTGAAGTGGCCAACTCCAGGGAAGCCTTTAGGGATCGAGGTTCTTCCATCTACCGTTCCTCATCAAGCCCTCGGATCTCAGCTTTGCTGGATGACAAAGATAAGGTGCAGTGGAGAGGGGAGGGGTATGCAGGGCATTCAAGGCAGTGTTCTTCAGTGGAAATGCAGTCATGATGACATGGGAATGCTTTCTAGTCCCCAAGTTGATTATGGAAGTACAGAGAATGTGAAGATGTTTTTAAGATGGAGGACAGAAATAATTCCTTGTTGCCAAAGGATAGGGACTTTGGTATAAGGCATTTGGTATCTGTTGAAATGAGTTGGCCTTGTAACTTCAGTAGTTTCATCAAGTAGTTATTTATTTGCTAATATTTTTCTTAAAAATAGCTTTTTCCTTTTGGCTTTTTATTCATTTATTTATTTACTATGTATACAACATTCTGCCTCCATGTATGCTCACATGCCGGAAGAGGGCGCCAGATCCCACCACAGATGGTTGTGAGCCACCTTATGGTTGCTGGAAATTGAACTCAGGACCTCTGGAAGAGCAGCCGGTGCTCTCAACCACTGAGCCATCTCTCCAGTCCCCCTTTTGGTTTATTTTATGTTCATTCTTTCTTACTTGCCCTAGAGCAAAATAATGACTCAAAGTTGAACAAGGCCCAAATGGTTCTTCTGAGTCAGTATCAGGAAAACTTACTCTTTTGATGTTTGCAAGCATAGTTGAGCTTTGAACCTTAATGCAACTGGGCACGTTAGCACTTAGTGGTTTATTGTTTCTTTGTTAAAAATTAGAACAGGATGACCTGGAACCTGCTATGTAGCCTCAGCCTTCTGAGTGCTAGAATTTCGGTGTATGCTATCATTACCCTGCCTGCAAGAAAAATTTTAACCTATTGTTTTTCATTTATATAAATATATGATTAGGCTGACTTTAAAAGAAGTTCCCCATTATATTCATCAAAGAGGAATTTGTTTCTAGATTTTACTAGATTCACACCGTGTTTTTCTCTGGGGTCTTCTTTGTAATCATAGTCCTCTTACTGTTTGCTTTCCTGGTGACAACTTGAAGGGATGAGCTGCAGTGTATCTGTTCTGTGTGTCCCCAAGGAAGTCGCATTTCAGGGAAGAAATAGCTGGAGAACAAATGAGACTGATGTATGCAGGGCGTCAGTCCCATGGAGCTGCTTGTGGCATCCCAGACCCCTTCTCACCCCCTCAGTGCTGCCCATTGTATATGTTGTGCTGTTTCCTTCCCTGGAGCATCCTGACTTTCTCTTGAGAATTGTTTCCCTCCAGACAAGATTTTTATGAAGGAAAGGTAAGAGTAAGTTTTTAATAGCTAGTCTTGGGTAATACCACTTGAAATAGAACTAAGGATGAATCCAGGTATGAGAATATGTAACTATCATAAGTTCCACCTTTTCCTCCTTCTTGAGATTTGAGGCAGTTTCACTGTCATAGGTCTGGCTGGTCCTGAACTTAAAATCTTCCTGCTTTTACTTCCCAAGGGCTGGGATTACAAGTGCACCACTATGCCTAGCAGAGTCCTGCTTTTCTACCAAAAATGTTTTGTGCTGGGTCAGCATTGAACCTTTCTTGGGTATTACATATTTTTGTTTTTATAGGAAAGAGAAAACAAAAACTATTTTAGCACGTTGGTACCCCGGAGGCTCAGCAGCACAAGTGACATTGAAGAAAAGGAGAACAGGTAATCACAATACATGCCAAAAGATGATGTCTTTCAGCCCCTCTGGGCATAAGGATCTGGCTGTTATTTGTCTGCCTTGTCCCACAGGCGTTGTCAGTACATTATGGATTGCCTGTCCCTTCTGCTCAGAATACTTCCCAGCCTTTACCATTTTTTGCCAATTTTTAACCCTTTATATTGTAACTCCAGTTTAGACATTACTGCCTGCAGGACTGTGACCCTTCCAAGTATGAGTTAGTTTTAGTTACCCCCGCAGGCTCTGTTTTGTTTCTCAAGCCGCCCGGCCATGCCTTGTATAGTATATCCCACTAGATTGATAGAATTGAATAGATTGTTTACTTGAAATGATCAGCTTCTAATTTATAAGGAAGTAAAATTTAATGTCCTGCATTTCAAGGCAGAACTTAATCTAGACCCTATTTTTCTTAAGGCATGCTGCTCCTATCAGGCATCATTTGGAGGCCTATTGGAGCTGTGGAATCAGAATCAGAATATCCTAAGTGATTCAGATAAACATTAAAGCCCAAGAAGGATTGCTGTAGGCCTACAGTCTCTATAGAAAAGACCCCAAGTTTTTGATTGTGAGTTCAAAAAACCTACTACAGTCCCTCCTGGATATCTTCTCATTTGTAGTGCTGAAGAGGCGCCTAGCAGCACCCTTCCTTTTCCTCCTGTAGTAACCTCATTAGCTCCTTCGCAGCCTGCCACTGGGGATCATTGCAAGGTACTTTTAAAATGAGTTAAAAAGTGACTCCTCATCACAAAAGGATGAGGGACTTTTGGTGTGAGGTATAATTTGGTACCTGTTGGAATGAGTTGGGTTTAAGGTTAAGAGAAGAAAGCCAACCCTAGTATAAGAAGCATATAGAAAACAGAATCACTTGAAGCATGTGCCTGTTTCTTTAGCATGTTACAGTTTTCAATTGGCTGTTCTCTCTGTTTATAGACCAAATTGGTGGTAGGAATCATTGCTTTGTTGGTTTTTCTTTCTTGCCTGTACAGAGAGTCAGCCGTTAATCTAGTGAGGAGTGGCTCCCACACCAAGCAGCTGTGGAGGGATGAAACAAAGGGAAATGAAACGCCACAGACAATTGCTCCTTCCCCTTATGTGTCAACTTACTTGAAAAGGTACCAGCGGCAGAGGGATGGGAGATAATCTTTCTTCACTCTGATCATGGGAGGATGGGTAATGATTGCATGCTCTTTCTATCCAATTAGTACCACAAAATGAATGGCATTTTAGATTTTTGGGATCAACATTTTCACTAGTTTAAAATTAATTTTTTCTCTTGTTAACTGGATTAAAGTAAGCCAATTCCAATCCTCACTACAGACCTGACTTTATACTCCATCCTCTTGGCCCTAATAAAATTTCAGTCTGAAGTAGTACCTAGTGATTTCTGGGGAACTTGGAATTTATACACTCTTGCCTAGTCTTGATTTTCCCATTTCTAAAACTAGAATACAGGTTACACTTTGGGGTGGGGGGGGGCACGATAGGGTGGTAAGGAATGGGAAATGGGAACAGTTTTCTGTTGGATTTAAGTCATTTCATGTTGAGCCTGTTAATTTAGGGACTTGAGTTGTTTTTGTTTTTTTATGACTTTAATGGCCTTCAGATCCATCAAGATGTGAAACTCGCAAGTTTGGTGTGCAGAGAAGGTACATGGGTTTCCTTTGATCTCATCTGTATTCTCTTTCCTGCAATTATTTTCTTTGCCACAAGCTAGCCAGCAAGCAAAGCACCTCTGCCAGAACCATTAAGCTACAAGAGGCACTTAATAATATTTTGGTTTGAATTTTGCTGCTGATGTAGAAGAATCTGTTTTTCATTGCTTACTTTGAATTCTTTCTTCATTTCCACTTAACCCTTCCAGCTGCCGCCTCCTGCCTTTGTCATTAGGCTTTCTAGATGGCTACCTTAGAAACAGGCTTTGGCCAAGACTATAAAAGCAGATTAGCTGTTTGTGATCAAAACTATTTCTACCTAACAGGAAAGCTCTTGACAGGTAGTTAATGTCGGAACATGGGAAATAAGCTATGATGAAAATAGACACTATTGCCTTTTAATTCTTCAGTTCTGCAGGTACATCCTAAGAAAGGTCTTGACTTTGGAAGTGTACAAGTGCAGCTCAATGGTTATTTTATGTATGTATTTATTTATTTGTATAGGCAGAGCCTCATGTAGCCTTAGTTGGCCTTGAACTCCTGTGTAGTTGAAAGTAACCTTGAAATTTTGATCTACTTTCCTCTTACCTCCTGAGTGCTGAGCTTACAGGTATATGTCACTACACACATTTATAAGGCTAGGAATTGACCCCAAGGCCTCCTGTATACTATGCAAGCATACAACCAACTGAGTTACATTCAAGCCCACTGACTAGTATACCAATCAGTTGTTTGGGGCTTTATGAGGGTATCACCCATTTCTCTTAAAGGGAAAGGCCTTGAATTACCAAGATATATCAATCTTTCTCACAGTCAAATCCAATATCAAAGAAACTTTTCTAAGAGAATAACGTTCTAGAGGTGGGAAAGAAAGAATTAGCTTCAATTTAGTTTCCAAATGTGGAGTTATTGGGGGGGGTTGTTGATGTTTATGACCCAAATTTATCAGCAAATGAGTTTTAATGGCTTTGTTTTGATGTAGATTGGGCAAAGTTACAGTGAACGGAAGATGAAAGGACTGCAAATTGTGCTTAATTAGATGAGCTTTTTTTTTTTTTTTTTTTTTTTGTTTTTCGAGACAGGGTTTCTCTGTGGCTTTGGTTCCTGTCCTGGAACTAGCTCTTGTAGAACAGGCTGGCCTCGAACTCACAGAGATCCGCCTGCCTCTGCCTCCCGAGTGCTGGGATTAAAGGCGTGCACCACCACCGCCCGGCTTAGATGAGCATTTTTTGAGAAAAGATCTATAAGTCACTTGGTGCTTTAGGTTTCCAGCGCTTGTTGTCTGTGACCCTAGAGTGATTTTTATAAGGCCTTGTAGTCTTCCCGAGAAGAAAGAATTATATGTCATCACCATTTTAAAAAGAAAGTGCAGGAAATCTCTTATCCCCCAGCTATGCCAAGCCTTGGTCTTGGAATTTTCTACATTGTCTCTTGTATTTAGCCAGGAACAAGTCTTATACAGCCCAGTAAAACACTGCTCTTCTAGTGAAGTTTTCACAGCTTTCTGTCCTCGCCCCTAGTTCTGTTACAGTCAGAAAACATTTACAGACTTCTAACCCAGTAAGGCTTTGCTGCAGTTGAGATCGTCCTTATGTCTTCAGTTGAAAACGAACAAGCTACAACCCTTGCCTTTCATTGCCCTAAAGCTTTGATTCCTCCCTAAGACATTTTTCTTTAAGGTGAATGACTGCAGCAGCCATTTTTTTCTCCCACAGCTCTCCTTTCTTTCCTTTACTGTTTACATTTCTAAGACCTCCCCCAGCCCTTGGTCTTCTGGCTTCATGTCATGATGCATGATTTGGGGCCTTGGGTTTGTCAGGGTTTTTTTCTTCTAATAATAGTCTCTTGTCTTGTATTCTACTTTCTTGCTTTCCCTTGTTGAATGTCACATCTCCTCCTCTACTCTTTTGGATGAATGATCAAAAAAAAAAAATCATCCTTCAAAGAGTGATGATTGTTTCACTCTTGGATGATTGCCTGCTTGTGCTGGAGACCCAGCTCCAGCTGGAGTTACCTCTCCACTTCCTGGTTGCCATGCCATCTCTTTGACCTACACTCCTTTCACATCTGGGTGGGAGGCGGGGTTGGGAAATGGTGGGTGAGCAGCATGTCCTGAAGAAAGTGACTGTGTGCTGTTTTGCAGTGCTTCATTTGGTAAAAGTAGTGACCCCACAAGTCCCTACATTTCAGCCAATCGCAATTCATCTCCTGCTACCTCACCCATTACCATTGGTTCATCCACCTCTCGGGGCAGCCAGTGGCAACCTGCCTCTTGCCCTGCACCAGTCAGTACAAACACTTCTGCATCTGTACAACACACCAGGTAAGGCTTCTTGGAGCCATTTGAGTTACATCATCACAGTTAATGCTTCTGGAAACACATAAGAGATTTGAAGCAAAGAGGCTTTGTCAGTGTAGAAATAAGTTTAAATTCCTGTGACAGTATCCAGAATTTAATGAAAATGCTTTTATTTTGTCTTTACTAGACAGTCAGCAGTTGCTTATTGAATAACATTGGATCCATATCATTGTCTTGATGTTCAGGGGGTCAAAGTAGCATGATTGCTTTCATTTGTCAACCACCTTTCCAATTGTGATTACAGTTTTAGAGTCAAGGCCATGATAATAAATTATCTATTAAAAATATTCCTGCATTTTACTTGTTCTAATAAGAGTCTCATGTATTTAGTCTTTTGGAAGATGACATACAAATCCAGAAGAAAAGCTAATCCATGTTCCAGAAACCTCCTATAGCCTTCTGAGAATTATGCTAATCAGTGTTCTTTTGGGAGCATTGTGAGGAGAGGCTTGTGTTTGCAGAAGCTATGTCCTGGGAGCATATCTTTTTGGTTTTCCATTCATTTAAAGGTAGCATGGTAGAGTGTCTTTGTGAAAGCACAGCAGGACTTCAGTTCCTTTTTGTTTTGATTGCTTTGAGACAGTGTCTCACAATGTAGGCCTGGCTGACTTGACTTCACTGTGTAAACCAGGCTGGCCTTGAACTGAGAGATTTGCCTCCTAAGTGATTAAAGACGTGAACCACCACACCCAGTTGACATCCTCACATACTACTAAACTGCTGTGTATGTGTCTATGCTTACTTGTCTGTAAGTGTACCACATGTGTGCAATGTCTGCTAAGGCCAGAAAAGGACATCAGAGCTCCTGCAACTGCATTTTCAGGTGGTTGTGAGCCACCTGTAGTGGTTGCTGGGAATGGAAACTGGGTCCTCTGCATGAGAGGACATTTCTCCAGCTGTTAGCTGCTCCTTGCACTACAGCTTTTTTACCCTTTCCTGCATGGTGGAAGCTATTTTTGTTTTGCCATATGGCTTTTATGGGTCTTGTTTTGGCAGAATGAAAATTAAAAATAAATAGAAATGATAATGTTGTTGCCAGAATATCTATTATGATGGTGTTTGATTGATGTTTGCCAGTTTAATAGAGTTCTTTCCCTGAAACAAATAGTCACCATTAATTTAGTGAGAAAGAACTATTTTATAATGAATTATCATTAATACTGTTATAATTATATAGATTTCAGACCTATGGCTCTCATAGTAACACTGTATAGTTGTGTAGAAATTAATTGGATTCCTATAATAATACAGCTATATTGATATTCTGTATATTATCACTAAAGATGAAGAATCCAGACAGGAGGATGGAAGCTTAACTTAGCGTTTAGCACTTGCTTAGCATGCCTAAGGCCCTGGATTTAACCCTCAACACTGAGGAAACAACATAGCTGAAACTGGAGACTGTTTTGTTGAATCCTGTCTTGTGACAGGAACTGGACTAGTTTCTGTACAGAGGGATTTGTAGGCTGGGATTGGTTTATTCACACGCAGCAGTAAATCCCTGTAATACTGCTTTAAGTATGAGACGGTTTCTTTTTCTTGTAAGAAAGTCCACAAACAAGGCCAGTACAATAGCTCCAAAGTCTTAAAAGATCCAGTTCTTTTTCTTTACACCATGGATTCTATCCAAGGTTTGCCTCACAGTTTGGAATAACTGCTGGAGTTCTAGCCATGGTGGCTGCTTTGTGAATATGAAGTAATAGGCAAGGGGGAAGCAGGCAAAGAGAGACCTTTAAATTAGTGTTTCTTTTTTCAGAAACACTAGATCTGTGTCTCATGGGGTATTTTCAGCATCTGGCAGACCTTAGAAGATGTCAATTTTGGGTAGGTACATTGTTGCCTTAAGAAATAAAGAGCACACAGAAAGGTTGGAAAGATGGCTCGTTGGGTAAAGGAACTTACATTAAGCCTGACAGTTTTATTCCATCCCTGGATCTCACATGGTCAAAGGAAAGAACTGACTCCTGGAAATCATGTTCTGACCTCTGTGAACACATATACATGCATACAAACCCCACACACCACAGATAAATAAATGTAAAAAAAATTAAAATCTCAAAAAAATAGAATTTAAGAAATATATAGGGCACCTGTTAGGAAGGTCAGGGACAATGATTATTAGTCAGGTAACATCTGCCTTAACTGCTCATATGTTATTTCATAAGCAAATCCCTGGTATATTAAACATTATATGTATTTTTAGATGAGGAAAGCAAACCAAAGGCTTAATCATATGCCCAAGCTCACAAAGCCATTGAGGGACTGAAGCAGGTTTTATATCCAGATTAATTTGTGAAAAACCTACCTATTTTGTCGTGTTTTGTTTACACTGAGTTTATATTTTATTGGGTACTATTTAGGTGTTGTACAGACATTATTTTGTTTCATCATCATGAGAATTCTGCATGATGCAGCATTATTTTCCCTGTGTTATGGTGAAGGGTCAGATCTTTAAGTTGGTTGATTATTAGCACCATGTGGTTCCGTTGTGTAGTTTCTGACCCTGTTGTAGAGCTTTCCTGGCTATCCTTGAAAGTCTACTTATAAAGTTATAACATGTTTTAAAATAATAATAAAGTTTTATTAACAATAAAATAAAGTCTCTGGCATTTCAACAGCCTAAGAAATTGCAAGGCTGGCAAGATGGCTCAGCAGGTAAAGCACAGGCCTGGCAACCTGAGTTTGAGCCCCAGAATCCATAAAAAGGAGGTAGGAGAGAGTTATCCCACAGATTAACCTTTGACCTCTTCCCTTATACACTGAGCACATATATACCTATAAATAAAACTTAAAAACAAAGAAATTGCAGAGAAGCCAAAATAGATTATTAACCCAAGAAGAGATTTCATCATGCTTTTGTTAAGTATAAAATCTTACTTAAGGTTTTTTTTTGTTTCTGCTGCTTGTTTGTTTGTTTTTTGGAGAGGAGATGGAGTCTGTTTCCCAGACTGGTCTCAAATCTTGAGCTCATGGAATTTTCCTTCTCCAACTTCCTAGTAGTTGAGAGTTATGGGTGCATACACTATTCCCAGGTTGGCACCATATTTCTTATGGCTATGCTTCTGGCTAATTTTATTAGTACTTGCTGTATACTAATAAATCTAAGAAATTATCTCCAACTTTTCAGATAAGAAAATGAATATACATTATCACCTTATCGGAGGTATTAATTGCTTCTAGGGAAGTAGCTTATATGTTTTAGGTATAGCTTTTATCTTCAAAACTGTTATTTTTATGTGTTTCTTAATGCCATGTTTAGACTTTATGATTAGATTATCTTTTTTGCACTTATCCTAATATATTTGGAAGGTTGCTGGTAGCTACTTGCAAACATTTTTGATAATAATTGTGAGTAGGTGAAAAACAGATTTTTAACGTTCATGCTTTTCATTGCTTTTCCCATCCCTGCAAGTATCAATTTTGGATCTCTGTTACCCCAGCAACAAGCTGTGACATCACAAATGATAGCTTTTTGGGTGGAGAGCCAGTGGTTGCTCCTCTTTGTTAAGAAACAAAGATCTTATTTTCACATAAATGGCTTTAATTAAACAGCTTGCTGTTGCAGTTGGTAGTTAAGGTTACATATAGAATCCTGCTCGATTTCTGTTTCAGTTTCTTACTTAGGCAGCTATGAATGTAGAGAATTAAGCACTTGTGTAAATGGAAAAAGACTGCAGTTGCTGGACTAGGTGAGAGAGAACCAAATAGACTGAGGTTATAGAATAATTTCAAATGGGTAATTCAAGAAGATGGTCATCAAATCTAGCTTGAGGATTGCCACAAAGACTTCTCCTGTCAAGAATTGAGGGACAGGTGAAGACTAATATCGTAAGTGATTTTAGTGTCTTTTTTCACCTGTAGTGAGATCCTGTCTCTTTGTGCATGTGTGGAGGGAGGTCAGGTGGCAACGAATCATTTAGGACACTTGCATATGTCACTATCTTGCCTTGTGCCACAGCTGATTTTTGTTTGTTTGTTTTTTAATCTCATGCAAAAATAATCCTATAAAATTTAAGTCCTGGGCAGAAGATGTCAGACTAAGTGTATAATTATACTGTTCCAATATTTAAGAGCTCAGAATTAACAAACCAACAAACAAAATCTGAGCAAGGAGATTCTCGTTAGATCTATGCCTTTCCGTTCTCTGTGCCAGTGTTTTGATTATACCATGCCTGAACATTTTCCTTTTGCTCCTGTCTTTCTTAATTTCAGGACTCCTTACAAGTCCCAGGCTGACTCAACAGCAGAGAAAACAACAGATGGTGTCTCTTCTAGTCCTCTGTGTGTGATCACCAATCGCCCTGCACCAAGCACTGCCAATGGGGTTCCTGCTGCCACAGTGTTCTCCTCCACTGGAACGGACTCCTCTGGGGAAGCCCGGGAGAAGAGGAGGTATGAGGTTCCTGATGCATTTGCAGGGCTCTGCTCTGAGTTGAGAGACAGAGATGTGGGTATGAAGTCCTTGACCCACGCTCAAATAGAGCTTAATTTTACTGTTATGTCTTAGGTTGGAAGGTTTTTTTTTTTTTTTTTGTGGTGGAGGTCTTATTTCTGACTATTTAGTATTATGTTCTGTATGTAGTCAGACCTTTTTCTATTTATCTTATGATAATTGACAGGTATATATTTGCCTTTTGTGATGTGGAGCTTGAAGCACAGAGAAAGAAAGATCCTTCGTTTTGTTCTGAGTTTTCTGTGATCGCTCTGTGCAGCAGAGTAATACTGTGAAAAAATCTCAAAGAATCAGAGCTGGGTGTATAGTTTTATACATGTGAGAATACTACCCGGGAAGGAAATGAACGTTTATGGTGATGCGGGATTGAGATCTGTTGTCTGCAGTTGAGACTTGCTGTGCACCTCAGGCTGGCTTCAATCTTTTGATCTTGCATTAGCCTGCCTGAGACTAGGAGTCCAGGTGGTTACTACCATGCTTTGCTGCACTGCAGTGGTTTTAGAGAATCTGAGAGAGCAGATGTAGATCAACATGAGACAGATCTGAAGAAGAGCGGAACTGTGTATTAGAATTAAGAGATTGTGGACAGTGCGACAACAGGAAAAACTGCTGAGCATTGTGTCCAGCTTGAGCTCTATGAAATCCAGTGTGCATGAAAGACTGAGGCTTTGGTATCACTTTCTAAAACTAGAAAAGGAGACAAACCTTTATTGAGATTTAGATTTTTAGTTTGATTTATTTCCAGTATCCAAAAAGATATTCTTCTATTTCTCAGTATGTATGTGTTTGTGAGAAACCAGGAAATGCTGTCTAAAAGATACAGTACCAAACTTTTTAGTTATTTGCTTATTGTGAAGACAACCTAAAGCACACATTTTGAGAAAGGAGGGGGAAGTTAAGTGTATTGAAAAATAGTATTTTCCTATTCTTTTCTTTCCATAAAATTCTAAGAAAATCAGTTTTCTGGACTAATGGGTTTCTGAGCCAGTAGTGGTCCTCTTTTCTTTCTAAGGAGACATTTTTATTTGTGTTTATGTATGAGTGCATTGTGTGCGTGCGTGTGCATGTGCACACACATGCCATTTGTGTTGCTGGTACCTTTGGAAACCAGACAAAGGTGTCAGATATCTTGGAGCTGGAGTTACAGAAGGTTGTGAACCTCCTGATACGGGTGCTGGGACCCAAATTTAGGTCCTCTGGAGGAGCAGCAAGTGTTCTTAAGAGCGGAATCATTTTCCTAGCCCCCAGTCATCCTCTTCTAATTGGCTTCTAGCCAAGTAAACATTAATAAGTCAGTCCTAAATGTGTAATGCTTGTACATTTTTTACTAGTGCACAAAGAAGTACCATTAGTTTCATCTGAGAAACTAAATTTAAGAGCAGTCTTTTCTCCAACCAAGAAGTCACTCTCTAAAGTATTTCTTAGGTCAGGAGAGATGACTCAGTTGATAAAGTGTTTTCAAGTATGGGAACATGCGTTCTCAGCAGCAGCAGCCAAGTAATAGCAGGTATGGCATCTCACATCTGTGACCTCTACTTGGAGAAGACAGAAGTAGGCAGTCTGGGAGCTTCCCTGGCTGGCAGTGTAGTCAATCCATGACCTCCTGGTTCAGTGAAAGTGAAGAAACAGTTAAGGAAGACACCATCCCCCACACAGCTGCGTGTAAGCATGTACATACTCACACAAATACATACACCCACACCTCCCACACAAACTGTTTCTTAGCTGAGAGAAATAAAACAAGTTAAATTTATTAAGATTGTGATCCTCGGAAAGCTGGAACAAGATGTTTGTTTTCAGGCTGTGTTGAATTGCTGTGTCAATCAGAGAATCATAGAGGCACTGCCTCTGTTGATGTCATAACCTATAATGGGTAAGACAGCGTTTGCTACAGATTTTGATTCTGCTTTAGTTGTTTTGTCAGGCCACAGGTATGCACTGAACACCTGCTAGTTTAATAAATAGGGTGACCAGGATAAATTTCCTTAAGAAGCAGCAACTATAAAAACAAAGGACTAACTGGGCATGAGTGGTACACACCTTTAATCTCAAGCTTGCAGGAGGCAAAAAGCAGGTGGATCTTTGTGAGTTTCATGCCAGCTGGGGATACACAGTGAGACCCTGTCTACATAAAGCAAATAACCAAACAAAAGAATTAAAAGGACTAAGCTGAGACATTAGTGAACTGTTAGTATACTGGATCAAGAGTGCATTTTACTGTCTTTAAGAAGGGCATGAAGTGGGGCTGGAGAGCCGGCTCAGCTCTTGTTGCTCTCACAGAGGATGCAGGTTCTATTCTTATCATTCACACGGTAACTTCCAATCATTGTAACTCCAGTCCCGGGAGATCTGTGGCCATCTTCTGACTTCCACAGGCACCAAGGCATATCATATGCATTGCACACTCACATACACTCAGGCAGAACAGTCATACACGTAATGAGTGGCACTAGTAAAGAGCTGTTAGTCACTTGTTTTGTACTAACTTTCACTCTTTTCACAATCTTGATTGCTGCTGTTACCAGGAATCACATTAAGCGCAAGTAGTACCTAGGCGAACTAGACAAATCTGGTATGAACCTACAGGAAACATATGTGCTGATAAAAATTACAAGTGCATGTGATATATACAATTGAGCATCATTAATCTGAAAATAGAAAGTATTCTAAATTCCACACATACTCAAAATTGGTTTTGGTTTGTTTCTTGGAGACCAAGTCTTCCTGGCAGGCCTAGTATTTACTATGTAGCCCAGGTTTGCCTTGAACTTATGTCAGCACTCCTGCCTTAGCCTCCTTCAGTCTAGGATGGCATATCCTACCGTACCTGACTTCACATACAAAATTACTTAAAAAAAAAAATACACGAGATAGTTTTGGATACTGTGACAAACATCTGAGAGAAATTCTTTAACAGGAGGAAGGTTTATTTTGTTCATGACTTCAAAGATGAAGTTCATGGCCAGCTGGTTTACTGTTTCTGGGCCTGTGGTGAGGCAGAACATCACTGTTGAAGTGTGAATGAGCAAAGCTGCTCATGTCTGGAACAAGACAGGCAGCTCCAGTGACCATCCCACCAATAAAGCCTCACCTCTGAGTGTTGTAAAATGCCTATCTGTGAGCTGTGGTCAATGTTCAATTGTTGGGCCTGCTAGTTGGAGAACAAGTCTTCAGTATAGGAACAGGTTGTGGGGATTACATCCTATGAAGCTTAAATGAATCTTATGTGTAGATATGGATTTCTTATCCATAATACCTTGTTATGTTTATGAAAATATCTCAAAATCTGAAAAAAATTCAAAATCTGATATGCTTCTAGTCCCCAGAAGCTTGGTTAGGAGAAGCTCAACCTGTATCATAAATAGGCAGCGTGAGTTATAAACAGTGTGTTATAGAAGAGGAACTCTTTGGGGGATCCAGGTGGCTTTCATGAGAGTGTGATGCTTAGACTGAGGTCTGTAGGATGAGTAGCAGCTAGGGGAAGAACTTTGAAGATTTGTTTTATTTTAGTGAATGAGTGTTTTGCCTGCATGTGTGTACTCTATGTGTGCCTGATGCCGAGGTAAGTCAGAAGAGGGTGTTGGATACCCTAGAACTGAAGGTATGGATGGTTGTGAACCACCATGTGAGTACTAGAGATTGAACCTGGATCTTCTACAAAAACAACACATGTTCTTAGTCCCTTTTCTCCAGCCCCTAGGGAACAAACTTTCTAAGCCAGTTATGGCAATTGAAAAGATAGTCAGTGTTAAGTGGAGTCACTATGAAGGTTTTATATCTAAATGAAACATTGCGGGGAGAGCGGTTTAAGATGAGACCTGCGGAGAGCGTGGAAAGTGGCTATACCATGTCAGTGTCTTCCAGCCAGTGATGAGCATTTGGGTTTTACAGACGATGAACTATAATGGACCAGTAGAAGAATTTTTCCAGCAGCTTTATAGAGACATAATTCTTATACCATACAACCCACACATTTAAAGTAGCAAGACATTGATTTATTTTATTTTTAGGTTTATTTATTTTATTTGTGACTGTTTTGCATGCATGTACACATACTATGTGCATGCCTGGTGCCTGTGGAAATCACAAGAAGGGCATTAGATCCTTGGAACTGGAGTTACAGATTGTTGTGAGCCACCAAGTCGGTGCTGAGAACTGAACCTGGGCCCCCTCTATAAGAGCAACAAATGCTCTTAACCACCAAGCCATCTCTTAATCCAAAGACACTGGTTTTTAGAATGTGGACTAGTATGACTATTGGCACAGTGAAGTTTGAACATTTTTATTACCTGTAAGAGAAATCCTATACCTATTTCCCTCATCTCTTTACATACCCCCAATATATTTCCTATCTTCATAAATTTCTTATTTTCAACCTTTCATATAAATGGAAACAAGATGGGGTTGTTGACTGACCTCTTTCTAGTATATTTTCAAAGTGAATTTACGTTGAGGCAGGTATGAGGACTTATTTATTCCTTTTTATAGTCCACCGTTGGATATTGTTTATCTATTCATAAGTTAATCACATTTAGATTGTTTCTATCTGTTGGCTATTGTTAATAATATTACTATAAATATTTGTGTGTGCATTTTTATGTGGACATATTTCTTAGTTACATACCTAGTAGTGGATTTGTAGGCAACATGCCACTAGACAATTTGAATCTTAAAGTATCATGAATTCCCCCCCCCCTTTTTTTTTAAAGTTCTGGCTTTTAAACTCTGCCTGAAGTTATTAGATAGGGAAAGAATAGGTAATAAGTGTGAAATGACTAGCTGAGGAGGAAAGACTATCGTAGAAGTAATATGAAAGATCGGGCTTGCACTGGGATAATGATAGACGAGGTGCAGGAAAGTGAATGGACTAAAAGTGGATGTATTACTCAATGATTTGGAGGGAGGAGCAGATCAATGCCATGCACATATGTGGGGGCCG